GAGAGAGAGAGAGAGAGAGAGAGAAAGCAAGAAACAAACTCTTAGAGAACTGATGGTTAGAGAGGGGAGGTGGGTGGGAGAGATGGGTGAAATGGGTGATGGGGAATAAAGAGTGCATTTATTGTGATGAGCACCAGGTGATTAAAATAAAAACTTAAAGGGGCACCTGGGTGGCTCAGTTGGTTGAATGGTTGAACGTCTGACCCTTGATTTCAGCTCAGGTCATGATCCCAGACTCATGGGATCAAGTCCTGAAATGGGCTCCATGCTGAGTGTGGAGGCTGCTTAAGATCCTCTCTCTCTCCCTCTCTCTCTCTCTCTCTCTCTCTCTTTCTCTACCTCTCTGCCCCTCTTTTCTGCTTGTGCTCTCTCTAAAAAAATTTTTGTTAATTTAAAAAATAAACTAGAAAACATTAGAGTGATAGATCACATTATTTACCCCACTTGTTCTTCAATCCATACCCTCTGACTTGTGAGTATACAGTTCCTTCCATGAGAAGTGGAGTTTATTTTTTTACTCCACTGATGTTGGGTTTAGCCATGTGATTTGCTTTGGCCAAAGAAATGTTTATATTTGGAAAGTGAGCATAGACTTTATTTTATTTTTTAATTTAAAATAAGTATTTCATTTAAACTAAAAATACCACCCCCCACAAAAGAAACAAAAACAATTCACCCACAGAGCGAGCACAAACTTTAAATCTATCGGTAGGCATGGACTCATTCTTTGTGTTCTTGCATTTCCCCACCAGGAGATCATCTGAAACCACTGATCTGAGGAGAATGAGGGACAAATGGAGTAGCCCAAGTCCCAACCCACAGCCTGATGTCAACCTAGCTGAGGTCAATCTAACCACCCACACAGATGCCTGAGCAAGAAATCAATACTTCCGTTACATCACTGAGTTTTGGGATTCTTTATTAGGCCACATATTTTGGGCAATAGTTGATGAATGTATTTAAGTTTGTAACTTTATAGACATTAATTAGAATAATGTATTTCCTTTCAGTGAAAGCTATAAAAGGGCCTCTATCTTTTAGACACATAGAAGTAAGAGTGTTGATGATAACTGCGTTGTCCTGGATTGGTTAATTGGGGGACACTGGAAGGTTTTATTCCAGGATAGTTTAATGAGGAGTCATTTTTCTGGAATAATTTTTTGCAGACTCAGACATGGTAAGAGAATACGCTATAGATTTTTCTTTTTTTCTTTTTTTTAATCCCTTAAAGCCCTGCAGATTTTGCTGGCCTGTTATGATTTAGAAAAAGGAATTTAAACGTTTTTGAAGACACAGATATGTAACCTTAAAAAAAAAATTTAACTGACAAACTTTGGATCAGGTGGCAAAACTATACTACTTACTTTCTGGCAAGGTTGCTCTTGGGAACAATTGTACCGCTCCACGGTTAAGGTAGAAGTATAAGTTAGGGGCCAAAGAAAAGAAAGGATTTGGATTCAGGAAAAATATGCACACAGAGAATATCAAAGCGTTTAGCGTGTTCACATCACTCACACACACCTCCATTAAATTCTATGCTTTCTAGCAAGCTTCTGCCGAATCCTTAGTTGGAAAAGCCCTTCTCTGGGCTTTCTGGGTAGGAACATCAAGCTCAGAATGGTGAAGGTTCATTATAGGTTCCCCTTGTAGGAGCTCAGTTTTGCCCTTTCTCCGGAGCTGGGTCAGCCTCCTTCTTAGACACCAGGAGGGAGATTGAATGTTTGCGGTCTGAAGCATCCATTGTATAACTGCCTCAGCACCAGTGATTCTTACGATAATAAATTTCACATTGATGAACTCATTGGGGGTAGAGATGAAGACCTTCAACACTTGAGGAGCCTTTCTTTTTCTACTGTGATTTTTCTTTAATTAATTGTACAAGTTCCCCCTTCCTCCAAGCCCGCAAGTGTAGCAATGAAAGAATTAAAGAGAATTGTTAAGATTTATAACACCACAGTCTGACCTACTTTGGAGCAAGCACATTCTGGGGAGGAAAGGAACCCAAATTTTAACTGTTTTCTTTGTGTCTAAACCCTTCTCTCTTTTAGCTAAAGAGGGCCAAAGGCAAACATTGTTTCACTGAGATTTAGAGAATTTCATTTACTGTGAGGGATGGTTGACTAATAAGCTTGATTCTCATGTGAGTGAAGGCCATTACATAAAGGAAGGGCCTTTGTAGCTGGGTCAAGAGAGCAGTTTTAATTTTAGCTTCATTAAAAACTCCAAACTCAGGGCAAAAATCTGAGCACTTGCTATAGCAGACTAAATTGGAATAATAAATGTTTAACTTTTTCTGAGAATCTTGAAAACAGAATAGAGGGATGGGTGTAGGGCTGGGTGAGGTAAGTGGTGGGGGTTAAGGAATGACTTGTGGTGATGAGCACTGGATGATGTAGGGAAGTGTTGATTCACTGTATTGTACACCTGAAACCAATATTACACTGTATGTTAATTACACTGGAATTAAAACAAAACAAAAATCAGAGGGTGATGGATGTAGAACTTCAGACGAATAAACATCAGGTTACAGGGTTACTTGAAGTTTTCTGGAGCATGCATTCTCTTAAAAAGTAGCCATGCCAAGAGGCCTCTGGGTGGCTCAGTGGCTTAAGCCTCCAACTTCAGCTCAGGTCGTGATCTCATGGTTTGTGGGTTCAAGCCCCGCGTTGGGCTCTGTGCTGACTGCTCAGAGCCTGGAGCTTGCTTTGGATACTGTGTCTCCCTCTCTCTCTGCCCCTCCCCCACTTGCTTGCTCATGCACACGCTCTCTTTCTCTCTCTCTCAAAAATGAATAAACATTAAAAACAATTTTTTTTTTAAATAGCTATTCCAAAAAATTCAGAGACAGTGGTGGAAAAAAAAGTTTCAGATCCAGGTAATTAGTCAAATATTTCAAAAAAAAAAAAAAATTAAAAAAAAAAGAAAAAAGGGGCGCCTGGGTGGCGCAGTCGGTTAAGCGTCCGACTTCAGCCAGGTCACGATCTCGCGGTCTGTGAGTTCGAGCCCCGCGTCAGGCTCTGGACTGATGGCTCAGAACCTGGAGCCTGTTTCTGATTCTGTGTCTCCCTCTCTCTCTGCCCCTCCCCTGTTCATGCTCTGTCTCTCTCTGTCCCAAAAATAAATAAACGTTGAAAAAAAAATTAAAAAAAAATATTTCAGAAGAACTTTCACATTCATGGCATTTTTAATTTAATGATCAACAAAATCAGAGTCAGACTGAACCCTTTCTAACCAGTAAATACTGATGTATGACCCTACATCTCTTAGAGGCCTCAGAGCTCCTCCAGGAAAGGAGTTTAGGAATTGATCAGGGGTGGGGTGGGGTACACACTTTTTCCTGGAGCTTCTTTTACCCATTCCACTTAAAAAAATTATTTATTTTTTAATTTACATCCAAGTTAGCATATAGTGCAACAATGATTTCAGGGGTAGATTCCTTAATGCCCCTTAACCATTTAGCCCATCCCCCCTCCCACAACCCCTCCAGTAATGCTCTGTTTGTTCTCCATATTTAAGAGTCTCTTACGTTTTGTCACCCTCCCTCTTTTTTATATTATTTTTGCTTCCCTTCCCTTGTGTTCATCTGTTCTGTGTCTTAGAGTCCTCATATGAGTAAAGTTATAAGATATTTGTCTTTCTCTGACTAATTTCACTTAGCATAATACCAGTTCCATCTACATTGTTGCAAATGGCAAGATTTCATTCTTTTTGATTGCTGAGTAATACTCCATTGTGTATGTGTGTGTGTGTGTGTGTGTGTGTGTGTGTATACACACACCACATCTTTTTTATCCATTCATCCATCGATGGACACTTGGGCTCTCTCCATGTTTTGGTTCTTGTCAATACACTGCTGTAAACATCCTCATTCCACTTTTTAGCAGGGTTTTTCTTACATGTAGTTCTACCTGCCATGTTGTTCTGGGTCCAGCTCATCCATTCCACTGGTGCTCTGTTCCCTCTCCACTCTCTCCAGGATGGCACAACACACATTTACTGATAGCATGTATGTAACTAGAATCTACACATATTTGTGGAGTCACTACTATCTTCACAGGCTGTGTAGCCTAGTGGAAAGCACTAGAAGTATCAGAAGACCCGTGCAAGAATATTCGTTTTCACCATATTCATGGTGAAAATATCCTAAATGTTCACAACCTGACAATAGGTAAAAATACTATGAAATATCCCTAATATAGAATACTACAGGTGTTAAGACATGGGTAAATTGTTTTTAAAATGTTGAATGAAAAAAAGAAAGTTGCAGAAGCCCAAAGTATGACAGTAAGTATATAAACTAAAGCATGCAGAATATATACTATCTAATATGTACAGGTGTAGTAAAGATAATGAAATCCTTGTGGGCATGAAGAATGACATTCAGGACAGTGGTCACCACTTGGGGGTCAGGTGAGGAGGAAGAGCAGGATGGGAGAAAAGGAACATGGGAGGCTTTGTTTATATTTTTATTTCTGAAATTGAGTGGTGGCCACAAAGTACTTGCCTTATTTTACTGTGCTTTTTTCTATGCCTGAAAAAGTCTTCATTATAATAAAAAATGAGAAAGAGTGTACTATTGATTGAATGTGACCCCAAATCTATGTTACATATGTTAGAACCTAACCCCCAAAGTGATGGTATTGGGAGGTGGCACTTTTGGGACATGATTAGGTCATGAGGGCTCCTAATGGAACTAATCCATAATGGGATTAGTGCTCATAAAAGGGGCCCCCAGAGCTCCCTGTCCCCTTCCACCATGTGAGGACACAGTGAGGAGACAGCCATCTATGAACCGGGAAGTGGGCCTTCGCCAGACACCACACCTGTTGGCACCTTGATCTTGGACGTAGATCCTCCAGAACTGTGAGATATAATTGTCTGTTATCTATATGCCACCCAGTGTGTGGCATTTTTGTTACAGCTGCTGGAATATACCAAGACAGGAAGTCAGCATCAAGGGCAAGGGCTGAGCTCTCAGCGTTGCCCCCACACGTGCTCACCCTTGGCTCTGTTGGCCTCATTTTCTGACCCATGAGATGAAGGGTTGGCCTCGTCAATCTAGGATCTTGGGTGTCAGGCTGCAGGAAGACCGATGCCCCTGCCTGTCTGTCAGCATCCTCCTAATGCTGTGTCTGGACAACAGGAAAAAAGTAAAAAACTAAGTGACTAAGTAGAACCCAAATGCCTAGCATGCCTGGATATTTTAAAAAAATTGTCCTGATCTGCTACTGCAGCACCTGCTGAAGCTACTTCAGCTGGGTGGAACTCTTCCTGTGGTAGGGTCCCCTCCCTAAGGAAAGAAAAAAAAAAAACAAAAAAACCCTCAAGGCAACCTGGCTATATGCATATGTGACAATATCCCTCATGACCTTGTAACATGAGACCACTTAATCAGACCGCATGTTTGTGTGTTACCATATATGGGAGACAAAGAAGTAGAAAATATATAAAAAACTATGCAACATGGTGTTCGGGGCTCAGTTCTTCGGATACAAACGCAACTGAGCTGTGCCATGCCGGCGAGAGTAAAGTTGCTTCCTGGAAAGAAAAGCCTCAGTGTCACGACTCTCTGTGCAAGAATCCTGCTACATTCTGTTCTCAAACTCTTCTAGAGAAAGAACATTATACAGTTTCTTTTGGTAGCCCATTCTAGTAACTGGCGGTCACTACTAAGGAGTGCTAAACATGGGGAAATTCAGCTACAATCATCCCCTTTCCCTTTACCCTTAGTGTTTTTTTATAAATTTTAAAAACTGTTTATTTTGAGAGAGGGAGAGAGAGTGAGCAGGGGAGGGTCAGAGAAAGAGGGAGAGGATCCCAAACAGGCTCCGTATTGTCAGCACAGAGCCTGACTTGGGGCTCAATCCCACAAACCATGAGATCATGACATGAGCTGAAATCAAGAGTTGGACGCTTAACCGACTGAGCCATCCAGGTACCCGTTCATGTTTTTATATTAGTAAATATAGAGAGTTAGGTAAAAATCACATGACATTATTAAATGTCACTAAAATACTATCTTTTTTTTTCCCAGAGAAGACTTAATGGCTTGATAAAATGCTTATAATACATAACATGAAATGACAAAGGAAGATATATTACTTTATATAGTATGATCTCAATTCTTCTCAAAAAAGTACATACACACATACACATACACATAAGACTAGAAGGAAATGCATCTAGGCAGTGGAATTATGGGCAATTTAAAATTTCTTCATGCTTAAATGAATTTTTCAATTTTTCTACAATGAGCATTTTTACAGTCATAACCAGCCTCATCTATGTGGATGCATTGCTATTTATTTTACAATGTGGTTTGTTTTGGACTGGAAGCATGTTTCTACCACCATCCACCAGGCACTCAGCCCTGCCGTGTGGAGGAGCCTGGGGCCCACTCTGAGTTCGTTAGCAGTGATGCTGCACAAACCCAAACCCTCCCCGAGAGTCATTTATACTCTAAGCCAGGTTTTCTTTTTTTTCAACTTTTTTTTAATTTATTTTTGGGACAGAGAGAGACAGAGCATGAACGGGGGAGGGGCAGAGAGAGAGGGAGACACAGAATCGGAAACAGGCTCCAGGCTCTGAGCCATCAGCCCAGAGCCTGACGCGGGGCTCGAACTCACGGACCGCGAGATCGTGACCTGGCTGAAGTCGGACGCTTAACTGACTGCACCACCCAGGCGCCCCTAAGCCAGGTTTTCAAAAACCTGGTCTCACAGAGGCTTTTGAAGCTCTATTTGCCACATTGCAAAGGAACAAATGCCTTGCCAGAGAGGATTTGAATGCTTCCAGAGAGTTATAAAGAGTGGAATGGAGTCAGCTCTGATTGCCAGCATAAAGTCTCTGTCTAGGGAATGATAAAACACCCCGATACATTTCCTCAGCCAGCTCAGCAGCCCAAGCCTTATGCGAGACATCCCCTTAAACCATACAAATGTCTCTGTCTTAGTCAGCTTGGGCTGCCATAACAAAATACCAGACTGCGTGGCTTGAAATTTACCTTCTCACAGTTATGGAGGCTGGAAAGATCAAGGTGTCAGCAGGGTTTGACTTCTGGTGAGACTTCTCTTTGTGGTGATGTAGATGGCAGCTCTCTCTGTGTCCCCACTTGTCCTCTCTTGGCCTTTGCTCCAAGCATGTGTGCAGAGAGAGCAAGAGAGGGAACTCTCTGGTATCTCTTCTTCCAAGGGCACCAACTGTATCAGATTAGAACCCCACCCTTATGACCTGATCTAATCCTAATTACTTCCTCAAGACCCTATTTCCAATATAGTCACATGAGAGGTTAGGGATTCAATATATGAATTTGGGGGAGGGGGACACCATTCACTCCCTAGCAGTGTCCTAAAACTGAATTTTGGAGAGCCCAATCTCTCTGTGGGGTCAGCCTGCCAATGCCCTCACCCCACCTGCCTCTGCATGGACCAGTTCTTTAAAATTAAAAAAAAATTTTTTTTTTCAACGTTTATTTATTTTTGGGACAGAGAGAGACAGAGCATGAACGGGGGAGGGGCAGAGAGAGAGGGAGACACAGAATCGGAAACAGGCTCCAGGCTCTGAGCCATCAGCCCAGAGCCCGACGCGGGGCTCGAACTCACGGACCGCGAGATCGTGACCTGGCTGAAGTCGGACGCCCAACCGACTGCGCCACCCAGGCGCCCCATGGACCAGTTCTTTAAAGAGATGGGAAGGGCACAGACCAATGTAGAAATAGGTGGAAAACACACAGCTTTTGTGTGTCACATAGGGTGATACATAGTAAAGGGCAGCATCTGTGAGGAGACCTCCCTGGTTTCCTTAATAAACTGCCATCCCATCCTATACGGTTGCAAGTGAGGGGAGAAACTCCAAATGTGCAGTGATCACTGGAAACTGGGCCCCAAAGATTTATCCTTCTCTCCAGAAGCCTCTCCCTACTAATGGTGGCCACGAAGGGACTTCTACTCTGTCCTAAGGATGTCCTTCCCAAAGGTGTCATTGCTTTTCTCTTCTCTTCCCTGGTATATACAAGCAACCAGATGGGACCACTTCCCCACTGTTGACTTATTTGCACACTGAGTCATCTATGAATTTCCTGGGTTGACAACTCAGGCTGTTTCCTCAGAGTTACCTCCTGCAAAGCTATTCCTAAAAAAGGAAATGACTAGTTGGCAGAGACTGGTTTTGCTTTTGAACAATTAGTAAAGTGACTGTGGAATGCACCTGGAATCGGCACTGGTCCCTACAGATGCCCATCATTGTGTTAGATTCTTTATGACTCATGACTGAGACTGGGCCATAGAGAGAATTTACCACCCTCATGGGAGAAAGACGACGTGCCTCAAATGACCCAACTCTCTGAAAAATATTTGTTGAAAGTGTGCATGAATAAATGGCCAGTCAGGATGCCAAGCACAGCAGTGTTTCCCTTATCATCATCCACAACCAACCACAATGATAATAGTTAATATTTATTGAGTATTAACTATGTGGCCAGAACTTCTGAGGTGCCCAGAGGGATCTCGGAGGGTTTGGGCAGGGATAGCTGGAAGGTAGCAACAGCATTATTCTGTTTTCTGTATCGGCAATTCCATAAAAGGTATCATCAGAGGGGCGCCTGGGTGGCTCAGTAGGTTAAGTGCCTGACTCTTGATTTTGGCTCAGGTCATGATCTCACAAACCGTGAGCTCGAGCCCTGCATCAGGCTCCATGCTGACAGTGGGGAGCCTGCCTGGGATTCTTTCTCTCTGCCTTTCCCCCACTCATGTTCTCTCTCTCTCTCTTAAAATAAATGAACGTTAAAAAAAAAAAAGGTATCATTAGAAAAAGGGTTCCACTGCTAAAATTTGAATAGCATTGCTTCTTGCAATACTCTCAATGAGAAAACCAGGCAGAGTTAGGGAAGGGCTTAGCAAATGTCACACAGTAAGTGGCAGAGTGAGACTGGAAATTAGGTCTCCAACACAGTGTTCTTTCAACCAAGCTCCATTGCCCTCTGCCTGTGATAATACCATCCAGGTAACAATAAAGTGATCTCTGGATTATCAGTTGAGTGCTGTATAATTAATGCCCTTCTGATTCCCCAGTATGTGCCGGGCACTAGGCTAAGTACTTTACAGGTATGAATTAATTAATTAATTAATTAATTAATTAAATTCTCATGAAAATCCAGAGAAATAGATGCTGTTACTACCATTATTTAACAGATCCAGAAAATGAGTCACTGAGCTATTAAATAACTTGCTTGAGGTCTCACAGGAAGTGGGTGATGACACCAGGATATGAGCTCAAACAATACAGCTTCAGAGATTCAATCCCTGAATACAGCTTCTCCTGACTAGTATATTATTCTATATCCCAAGACTGAAAAGAATTTACACAGAAGCAAAGATACACAGAGTTCACCCTCAACTTCTCCCTCTGCTCAAAGCTTCTTTTTTTCTAGTCACCCTATGTTCCAAACTTTGAGAAATGAAAATCATAGAATCCTCGATGGATTCGTTGAAATCCCTGCAGGGAAGAATTAGCAGTGAGAGAAGTATTTCTGCTTTACAGATGAAGTGCCTTACAGAGGCTTATTAGACACAACTCACCACTTGTCATTCGGCAGGCACAGATAAGGTGGGAAATGGCATGTGTCTGAATCCCCAAACTCTGTTCATCCAACAGCATGAGTGGTCTAAGTGCATGTGGAACAAAAAGGTTGTGTGTATGTGTGTGTGGTGGGAGAAGGCACAGCAGGGCATCAATGTTGACAGATGAGGATAGAGAAGTGTGCATGGGATGGGTACTCAGTGGCCTTAAAATTCTTTAGCTGCTGTGCATCACACAGAGGCCACTGGAAGCTTTAAGAGAATGAGTAAACAGCAGCTATATTCATGTTTTTGAAATATTATTTTGCATGGTGAAGATTGGATTAGAGTTGGATAGTCTCCTTGAAGACTATACAGGAGAGAGAAGGGTTCAAGGAACTGCATTAGGAAGCTGTTGCTATTTTCCAAGAGAGAGAGGCTGGTGCTCTGTTTAAGCAATGTCAGAGATGCCTGAACAATATTTGTAGGCAATTCACACACCTGGAACACTACACATTTCAGAGATGAAAAAAAACTTTCTAGCATCC